CAAATTGAAACTCTTCAACTTATTTTTTTATCAATTTCTGAAAGTAGCATCAGATGACTAGCTTGATATTAGTTGTAGCTGTAGGGGCTTGGCCACCGATGGCATGCTTTGAGTGAGTAACCTATGAATGTTCCTCAGAGCAACTTACGGCTGTGGATAGGGAATTGTTGCTGGATACTGCTGAGGTTCTGGCTGGAAGCCTGGCTGGGCCTGGGGTTGGTAGGCCACCTGTCCCCCTGGTCCATACACGATAGTTGCCCCGGGACCCTGTGGGTGAATGATGGGGGGTGCTCCTGGCTGCTGGGGCTGTACTATGGGTGATGCATCCGGCTGGCTGTACTCCATCGTGGTCACCCCAGCCGCCTCCTGGTCAACGACAGTCTGCTGTTGCTGCTTGTGGATCTTCCGGCAGAGCACGCCACAGGTAATCATCAAAGCCAATCCCCCAGCAAAGAGGAGGCACCCGACAATGCCCAAGCCAATGGAGCTGCTGAAGCCAACTCCCATCATTATGATACCGCCGGTGAGAAAGAAAAGGCCAAACATACCCAGATTGATGGCTCGTATTGGACCACCCACCGCCTGGCCCGTGCCTGACACAGGGGCATGGTGGTGGATGTTGCGGTGGTGATTGTGGTGACCAATGCCATGGTGGTGACCAATGCCACTGTGGTGAATGCCATGGTGGTGACCAATGCCATGGTGGTGACCAATGCCATGGTGGTGAATGCCATGGTGGTGACCAATGCCATGGTGGTGAATGCCATGGTGATGGGCAGGGCCATGGTGGTGGTGATGGTGTCCATGGTGTATAGGCATCCTCCTGATTATTGACTGGGCAACTCTATTTGGAGGTCTCTGGAAAAGAACAGAGTCAATCTTCAATCTCTTGAAGAATAGAAAAGTCAGATTTTTTTTAAACCTGAATAACCATTTCCAAGAATGAGTCAAAAACAGAAAAACTGCATCCATCGAATCTGCAAACACTACGTGTAACTACACATTGAGCCAGAAAAATTGGCAGAACTGACGACAAAAAACCTCAACAGATGTAACATTGTGTAGTCAAAACATACACGTATGCCTACATCTGATGTGTATAAATGAACCACTGCTATTGCAGATCCTAAATTCGACTGTAGACAAGAGATCAGCAACAGCTTGGTATAAGGTTGTACAGTATGAACTCTGTCCCGGAAGAGAGGAGGGCCATGGTACAAGTATTTAGCATCAACAAGCATCAAGGAGCATCAACAAAGCGTCAATAATTTATTGAAGCATATTTATGCAAAATTTTATTTACATATGATATTCAATATATCGTATCTATCGAATGGCTGAGCATAGAATTTTGGGGGACAAAGTCGAGCCTCCTCATGTGGCCTGATTGGCCGCTGTCTTTTCGCATGGATGGCAAAGAAAGGAAACATGGCGGGCCCCTCACATAGCCAAAAAAAGATTTTTTTTTGAGAATCTGGAAGCAAATTGGCTGTTTCCAGTGGCGTTGCCAGGATTCTGAGCAGTGGGGGGGTGGATGACTAGATGTTGCAAATATGCATATACATAATCGTGAAATGCAAGTGGGGGGAGATGATTTTTCATGGGGGAGGCGTGCACCCCCCCCGGCTGTTTCTGTCTAACAGTGAAAAGTACCATTAGAGTCTCAAAAATATGCTAAAACTTCTTTTAAATCTTTCAAAGTTACAATTTTGATGCTTCATTGACACTTCTTGTCTCTGTGCTAAATAGGATGGAAAGTACATGTATATGTCACTCCTGGCCTGGGCACCGTTGGCACATACATTCAGATTCTATCCTGCACAATTGGGTCAAACATATAATTATATAGGCAAGAACTTCTGTGACAAAAAAACTCACTCAGTATGACTCGGACATGCAAATTGGTAGTCTGTAATGATGTAAATAATAAAATTTGCATAAATTATACAAGTTTTCCATTGGTCATACCATGGTTCATTTCTCAGTTAGTTCCTCATGTTAATGAACATGGACCATGCTAGCCTAGGGAAATCTCTGTCCACGGTGCTGCTAATTGTAAATGAATTCAACAATTTTCACTGAAAGGTAACGTTTTCAAACCACTGCTGTAACAAGTTGCTAGAACAACTGCTAGTGGAGTTAGGCCTACTGAGTACTGACTGCATACATTGCATTGTCGGACATCATTCCCTGCCTTTACTTAAATAGCAAAATCTCTGCTAGAAAATATTAGAACCGGCCCTTTTCTTCTACTGCCAAAAATGGTAAGAATTTACATTTTTTTTCATCTATGTACGGTATGCCTATTATACTCCTATAGCCAGATCACTCCACAAAACGATTCACATGACGACTTCCAGAACAGTCTTCGAAACATGTACTAGGCCTAGTAGAAACGTGCATAGCTATGTACCAACTCCCATAAACATTTTGGCTGTTTCGTTTGTGCCAATTACTTACATGCATCATGGAGGTAGAATCACATGTACTCTGCCACATTTACGGCCATTTGCGCAACACAATTTCATACATGCCTTACTGGTTAAGTCAGATGTCTCATGGGGAGGTTTACTCACCTTGTATCCTCAATAAAATGGAGAAATTCTTGAGCATTTTGCCATCCTCACCACAAGCACATCTTACTCTATCATTATATAGTTAATATTAATATCGCAGTAGTTACCGCATTTCTCAGTGCAAGTAAAGATTGATCACTCACCTTCCGGAATTATCCTATCCTTGTTGTTATTAAACTCTCTTACTCTTTAATGTGATTCATAAAAAAAAATTTCTGGTTCAATTTATTTTGCTCTTTGTCCGACAGCTCAGAAAATCAACGTGTGTACAGGTCGAGATGGAGTCTCTAGTATTGGGTTCGTGCGTATAGTAACTGACTTCGTCACACACGTGGCTGTGGACGGCGCAGACACTATTGAGTTAAGTTACTTCCTAGATCCTGTTCCGTGTTCCATGTAAAACCAAAACGGAGACAATGAACATACATTAGTCTCCATGTTGGTTTTACATGACGTCCTGTAAAACCACAGTGTCCACGCTCTAGCTAGCTAGCTACATGCTACATGTGGAGTGTTAAGTGTATGTGCAGTGGGCGTGGTTTAAACTACAGTGACGTCACACTTAATAAGAACCGGATTATCGCACGGCCGCGATATGATTTCTACGATGGCCTTTAAAGCACTTTGTTATGAATAAATATAGATAAACAAAATCATTTGTTTTCAGAGGACACAAAATAACCTCATTTTGTGATAATGTAAAATTTGACCTGTAGGTGACTCCATATTTTCCAGTCTCCTCCATAAAGATGCCGCACGCCGAGAGAACGAGATGGGAATAATTTCACTGCGTAATACGCTTATTCGTCCGGCAAGGGTCAAACGACTTCCTTTTTCTCACCAGAACATTACACCAATTTCAATGCCGCAACAATTTTGACATTCATCTTATTACTTAAATTAGTGTTTTCAGAAGGAATGATAAATATGTGGGTCTCGCAAACTTCATTTTTGGTGGGCTCATTCTTTTATTTGTGTCTAAAACAATTATTGAAAATGTTTGCTTTCTGAGTTTAATTCCCCAGGAGTTATAACCATCTCATCAGACCTAAAATATTTTATTCAAAATAATGTTGAAATTCTGTATATCCCTTGCCAAATTCTTAAAATTAAGAAAAATTGAGAATTATAATGCCGACGTAATCATTCCCCACTACTTGCCCAAGAGAGAAAAATTCTATTCTAATTGAGATTGAGGGTGCGCCTAATGCAGATCAAAAGTTTCTCAACGCGGAAGCTCTCATTTTGACTCCAAAAAATACTTTCCCAGTTTATGTGTCTGTAGACACCTTAGGCCACTTTGGAAATGACACATGAGAACCCAGTATATATCCAAGGGAAGGGCGGCGTTAGAAAAACGAGGACAGACGGTAGGTAATGACAGACGAGGGGAAGGAAATTTCTGAAAAATTACATTTTTTATGAAACAAATCCTCAGGCCATAATTTATTGATTACCTAGTTGACCATTTACGTTCGGGAACTCACTAGCAACACAGAATTCAAAGTTTCTGACACCGCGATAATGGAATTAGCGCGACAAGAATGGAACCGAGTATACTCTCAATCCGTCAGCCGTATGACAGCTTGACCAAATACAGCACGTACTGCTCATATCTTACCTACTTGTTTTCCAGTAACCCACAGATGAAAGCCACACTGTGATTGGCCCAATGTGCTGATCCTCTGCCTTGGGATTATTCCCAGACCTTAATCTAACCTTATAGTGAGTCATCGAAGAGTTGACATTGAGAAACGATTATTAAGCCTTGGTTTTGTCATTCAATATTCTACTTTAAAATAACGACACAAAACATCCTAAACTTGTTTACTTCTTTACATTGCCATACAGTCCCTTACTGCGAGGAAGTTGCCGCCATATTTGGAGCGCGACACCATTTTATTAAACTTTTTCTCACTGACCCTAGACTAGCTCTTCGTACTTTCTTTGGGTCGGACTACCCACCTACTTACCGACTGAATGGGCACCATCCCTGGAAGGGGCCCGGGATGCTATCGTGAACGGCTGGGCCAACACCGTGAATCCAACCCAGACCAGGACAGTGGCCAAACCGGCGGCAGGAGGCGTCCTGTCCACCGCCATCGTAGTAGCTGTACTTCCGTGTCGTCTTCGTTCTTAGCTGATATCTCCACATTCTCCTGTATTGTATAAAAAGAAAGAAAGGTTTCTGTTAATGCAAATATCTCGGAGCATTCAGTCTAAGGTCAGTGTGTGCCAGTTGGTCAACTCTCTACGGAAAGTGGAGGAAGTCAACAAAATGATTTCATGGACAGGCAGACCGTATGGACGTGAGCCAGAATGTAACGTTCGGGTGACGTTTATCGGCCACGTTACTTTTGAGGACATTGACATCGATCTGTACGCTGCAAGTTTAGAATTGAGAAGATACTGAAAACGGCCTGTGAGCGAAATAAGTCTGAAAGCGATTAGAAATTCAGTGACTCAGACGAGTATAGATAAATCTCTATGCCCCGTTCCGAAATCCTGTAATCTTAACCCTAAAAGAGCCGGGTCATTTTTGACCCATCTCACAGCGCAGGTGGGGGGGGGGATCGCTCGCAGCCATGCCTTGCTTGATTTTTTTTAAAACGGTCTACATGACCGTGCCAGCCCGCGTGCACTGAGCAACCGCAGTGGAAAAAGTCTACATTTCTGGCTGACCCGTCTCGGCAAAATGCGCGCCGTGTAAGAACTGTAGGTTCAGTTGTCGCAAAATTGGTGTCAAAATGGCTGCAAAGAGTTACCTTAGAAACTTGGAATTGCAGTATAAATTATTTTAAAATTCCTGATAATCTTCCAGTCTGAGGTCTGACACCTGACTTTGAGATGATAACCGAATTCTCTCTAAATGTTTGCAATAATGGAATGCAATCACTTTATTGAAGTACAGTGTGAATCATAGATACAATACACGTTTACTGTTAATTAAGACAATAGTTTATGAAAAAGAGGTCATTTATATTTTGGCAGATATATGCAAATGGACAAAGAAAATGTCAGAAACTCTCATGAATAAATTAACATCATTTTTTACAATTAAAACATAAAAGTCACTTATCCATATAATTTATACTATAAAAATAAAACTTTAAATGAAAACAAGTACACATATTTTGACAGATGTATGCCAACGGACAAACAAAAGTTAGAAATTGTCATGAATAAATTAACACTTTTTTACAATGAAAACATTCAAAAATCACTTTTCAAAATTAGATTTAAAATGGTTGACAAAAATTGCTCGGGATAGGTCAGGGTAGGCAAGACGTCATGAAAACCAACATTTAATGGATACAAAATGACCTCTTAAAAATAATAAACCAACATGCCAAAGCATACACCGTACATGTACACATGTACAACATGGCTTCACATTTCGTTGCACCAACCCAAATGCAGCACCCATTTTGTCAACAAACCTGGGAAGGAGATTGCCACAATTCTGAGGCTTTGGACCAGGAAAAACAAACACCCCCACTCCTGATATCCAGGCCACACCAATTCAGTCCGCTCTCAATGTACACCACACTCACTCATATAACGAAATTCTGTACCAAAAGCAAATCTGCAGTCATTGTTTTGTTCCAGTGCCTTAATTACAAGGTTGTGGTCAAGATATAACAAGACAATCTAGCTAACACCACCAACCCTGGTTTAAGGGGATTTGTGACAAATCGTGTCACATATTTAACAAAGATCCAAGCACTCTTGAATGGCTAAATTTACATCGCATTACTACATTTTCGTGCACAATGGCAGCTCATTAATAAAGCAAAGCTTACTGCATTTGAGGTACAGACAACTTCGGAAAACTACTACTCAACTTGCTTTTTACACAAACTATACACATGAGAGACATGTATGGTCCGATCTTGGACATGTCAATGCCATCGTCACCATCAAGCAGAGTGTACGTATGAAGACAAAACAGTGGAAATGGAGTAGCAGCTTTAAGGCAGATATTTATGTAATCACAGTTGAAAAACGAATACACAAACACTTTTTTGGCTTAAGATAGAATGTATTTAGAGGCTAAGCAGAACAATGTCAATAAATGCAGGGTACTTGTGGAAATACAGGGGAGGGGCGGAGCCAGCAGGTTAGCAGGGCTGGGAAAAAAAGGTTGTTATGAGTTCATTTCGGCCATATGAGATTTGTGTGATCAGTGAAATCAGGAAAAAGATGCATTTTATGACATTTATGTCATTTTAAATGTCTTACATTATGATTGCTTGTCCTAAAGTTTCATGTGAAAATTCCACATCAGAACGTGAACCATGAGAAAGATAATATCATTTTCCCGGCATTTAGTTTTAGGTTTTGGAGCTGCGAATAGCCTCGTCTTTTTTAGTAGTTGACAAAATGTGCTCAGTCAATAACAAATATCCTGAAATCTTCCGGTCACGTTTGCAATGAACCTTATCTCCGACAGGTAAGGCCATTTCAAAACGGTGAAAGCAAAAATGGAGTACATGAAGGAATCAAGTGTCAAGATCCCTCCCCTTTTACTCTTATCTTTAAAAATTCAATGAATAGTATTTTTTAATATTTCAGAACTTTGAAAACACAAGAAACATCAAAAAAAAATCTATGTGGCAAGAGTGTAGCAACACCTGTACAATTATACATCAATGATATTTTTTGACAAAACTGTAAACCTAAAAAATAAAACCTAGTTCTTTAACCTTAAACAAGAGCTGCATTACGGTTGAGAACCCGTTTCAAACATTGAAAATATAACTGTGATAGAATAACAGATTCACTGGTCCCCGGATGTTCCCATATCTAATGCACATAATGAATGGATACCATTCATCTGAATAAACACAATTCATCTAGGTGTGAATGGGACAAACAGATGGGTCAAAGGTCATCAAACTATTAACCTGTTGTGATTTATGAAGCAAAAGTCAAACTTTTGATGATCTCCAACACCATGGTCTTTTGACCCAAGTGTCTAAAATTTGGTCGTAGGTGAGTCCACATTACTTCCCTCAGTAATAAATGACACATGCACTGATTTGTCATAAAATGACCAAAGATCTTTCGAAAACTACTACCGAGTTTATCTACATCAAACCTACCAGAAATCCAGTACATCCAAGATGTTGGCAGTGTTTCGACTGAGTCCAAGGCTGAACGACCTGAGAAGTGTTAATTTTCCTGGGCTTAGTGTTTCATTTTCACTCAACAAGGATGAATGTGTCAGTGTCTATTGCAAAGCATGGATTAGAGTCACTTTCTCAAACTTCCTATGAAAAATGCCCACAAAGACAGGGGTGCCAAATTTACCTGAGAAAGGGGCATTGCATCCAATGCTGGCCCAGGACAGCACTGGGCTTGATTGTGATGAGGCTATCTTAGTGTGCTAGGACAAATTTTCCTTTTTTTCCGTGGTCCAATCAGCAATGATTTCAAGAATCAGTATGTCTGTATGTTGGTTGTAATTCTCACGGATCACTCAAGACTAAAAACTTGATAGTCAAATCCAACATTTACGGGTGCGCGGTCAGTGACCACTCTTTGAAAGTGTTGAAGCCGACATTTCAAATGACAAACACAACATTGTAGATTTGAAATTCAGCACTTTAACTGTTAATTCAGCATTTGAAATGGTGATATCAAAACAGCAAGGGGAAAAATGTTGAATTAATTCTGACACTGTTGGATAAGGGTATTTGAAATGCAAGCTTACAACATTTAAAATGTTGGATTTAACGCTGAAAAAGAGTTACTGTTTTAACACTTTCAGTTCTTAGCGTCTTTACAATGATTATCTCACAACTGCCCCCTTCCTTCCAATTTGAAAATTGTTTAGCCACCGCTGACTTTGGAGTACTTTCCCTGACAAAGGTTAGCTCACAATCAGTGGATGGTATTCATGGAGGGCCATTTCAGTCAGGTTTCCCAATGTGGTATATTCATTTGAAAGCAATGAATTTCAAGAAACAGATAAATTCTACGATTTCATTCCCACTCCCAAAAGCACCTGGTTCCATCCCTATAAGGGTTTCAAATTTATACATTCAGAAATACGACAGAAATTGGGTACCCTACGAATACAGTCTGATGACCTGATGTCAGAGTTCATCGCATCCGTAGTATAATGGCCATGGGGCGGTATAACATGTTTGCTATGGAGGCCTCAGGGTACCAGTTACAGGCATTTCAGATAGTGGTGTCATTGTCCATGGCAGTCAACTGTCAGCCGACCACATCCAAGAGAGACTGAGGTAGGATTTCAACCCAGACCAAGACCTAGTTTACCTGCATCGGCATTCCCCCTCTACCCTGTGCACCGCCGTGAGAAGGTTACACTGCAACTGGCTGGTTGCTTCCACCGTCAGGTTTCTTGGTTGGGTTGGCTGCATCCTTGTAGGTTGGTGGGGGTGCAATAGGCTCAGCTGGTAGATCAGACTTGGACATATCAGGACCCCTACAAAATATATGGAAATGAAATGATCAGCATGGAAGAGCATGCATGCACCAGACAGCCACTCCATGCAGAAAGTGGTAGATTGTTTCAATGGTGTAATTTCCCTCAAATGCCTACCAATCCAGCGCTTCCACTGCAGCCCTGAAATGACCGAGTAGTGATTACAGCGTGTCCAGGTGGTAACTAGACATTATCAGGGTTGTACTTTTGTATCAAATCGAAAATCCATAAGCTTTTTTAAATACAAACTCTTCAACTTATGTACATATAATTTCGAATTAATTAATTTCTAAAGGTAGTATCAGGTGACTAACTTGACTTTGTGGCGGCTTGGCCACCGATGGCATGCTTTGAGTGGGTCACCTATGAATGTTCCTCAGAGCAACTTACGGCTGCGGATAGGGAATTGTTGCTGGATACTGCTGAGGTAATGGCTGGAAGCCTGGCTGGGCCTGGGGTTGGTAGGCCACCTGTCCCCCTGGTCCATACACGATAGTTGCCCCGAGACCCTGTGGGTGAATGATGGGGGGTGCTCCTGGCTGCTGGGGCTGTACTATGGGCGGCGCGCCCGGCTGGCTGTACTCCATCGTGGTCACCCCAGCTGCCTGCTGGTTGACGATAGCCTGCTGTTGCTGCATGCGGATCTTCCGGCAGAAAACGACACAGGCAATCATCAAAGCCACTCCCCCAACCAACAAGAGGCACCCCATGACGCCCACGCCGGTGAAGGCGCTGAAGCCAAACGACACCATCATGGTACCGCTGAAGAGACAGAAAAAACAAAACATGCCGAGGCAGGCCGGCAGCGCCATGGGATTGTTGGCTTGTGTTGCTATGGCTGGGCCACCCACCACCTGGCCTGTGGCTGACACGGGGGCATGGTGGTGGATGTTGTGGTGGTGATGGTATCCATGGTGCACGGGCATCCCCCTGATAATTGATATTGTGCAGTCTCTACTCACTCTATTTCACGGTCGCTGGAAAAGAACAGGGAACATGTACATGTGTACAAATTCAGTAAGGCTATTGTAAAAGCAATCAGACCCGACAAAAGAAGGCAAAATTAGGGACCTACAAGTAGCTACTATACAGTCACAGACATTACACTTCAATATTCACACTATGACTCAGACATGGCAGATCCACTCACTTGGTCCAACCTTTTAATGTGCATGGACCACGCTAGCCCAAAGAAATGTTTGCCCATCATATATGCTTCATTCTGAGAGTGAGGTTTTCAAAACATTCTCGTATTACTGCTCTTGGGAATCTTGCGAGTGGCAAGGAGGAAGTGCCGATGGCGTACATTGCCAAGTCATGTAAGTGTTGCAATCCTTTCATTTGGCAAATCTCTGCAAGTCTTGGCCCTTCCTCCTTTGCCCAAAGTGGTCAAGAATTTCACGCTTTCTCTTCATAGGCCTGCTCCACAAACTGACTGTCTAGGCCTAAACTTGAACAGGCTAATTGAAGCAAACAAAACAGGAGTCAACACTGCAATGGCATGATGAGGCCAATTTCCCATTCCGTCGCCATGTGGATATAATCCCCCCCCCCCGCAAGTAAGTGAACAAAGCTGAGGTGGGAACAAACTGTCTACAACAAGAACAATCACGAGCGTCCATTTGCCAAACGTTACACAACAATGTTGTCATTCATTTATCCCCCCAGTTAAATCTTCTGAGCATGTGCACATGAAACGTGATAAATGCTTCTGGCCAATGTCTAGTCTGAGTAACAGAAGGGAGAACTACATTTTAACTTTTTGGATTCACCTTGGTACATGTAGATGACTATGACATCATGCTCGATAACCGTAAGGTTGATGTGAAAAGTGGATGGGGTTTTGGATTTTGAGGGAAATAACAAGGGAAACTGTGAGTGTCTTAACACATGACACGTGTGGTGGATTCAAATTTGTATAAGCCATATCGCTTAAATACTGCAAGGGTGATTTTGCACATGAGGCCTTGTATAAATGCATCATGGGAAGGAAAATGGGGCAAACATTGTCTCTTTTCTCTTCCCGCAATGCCTTTCCACAGTGCATGGTGCAAAATCAGCAATGCAGCATTAATATTAGCGATAAGACTAATGGCTGGTTAGTCAGTATAAAAGTTACATTTTCTCACAATTTATAATTGGAAATTTAAAAAATATGGTCAGCACAATAAAGAGAGCATTGCCTTTGTTCCGGGGGGGGGGGACTGACCAGTTTTACAAGATCAAAATGGGTCCTTCCTAAGCTTGTTCCAAGAAAATACTATTTATTACAGAACAAACGTGCATGACGGTACCGTCCCCAGGTCCCTGATTTCGCCACTTACTGTGAAAACCAATGAGACTTGACAGTGGATGGCGAAATCATGGACCTCGCGGCTATACGGTCACGCACATTAAGCATGTAAAGCGAGAAACGACAACGCACGCTACCCCCAGAACTGTGGGGTCCGACGTCCGCTCCTCTCCCGTCCCACGAGGGAGAGGGGCAGACGTCGGCCCCCAAAGTTGTGGGGGTAAACGCACGCAAGTGTCACGTCCATACCTCTGACTGAGCGCACAGGGTGCAGGCCGTGCGCTAGTACGAAAGTAGAGCTAGGGATCCTAGTATTGAGTAGTAAGGACTGTCAAATCAAAGAGCAAGGACTATGGTCAAATACTCACTCTATGATCAGCACAAGACACACTGAGCAGGTCACGAGTGGAGGTTTTTTTTCCCAAAGATCGTACAGCGCCGGCGCTAAATATACGATCTTTGGTTTTCTCTAAGTTTAGGATCCGCCTATGCGATAGCGCCCTCTTTCGGTGGTACGAAGCCCTTCAGTTTTTGCTGGGGTCGGCTTCGTGTGGTTAAGGAAGCTTGAGCAAAATGCTCCTTTTTCTCCGATTAGGATAACTCCTTCAAGCTGGATTTTTGATGATGATTCCCTGGACTGTTCCTCTTCATTTTCCCGCGGGTAACCTTGACCTCAAAACACCTCTGAAACTGTTTTTCAGAGAGGGGGAAACATTGTGTGAAGTGTGCGAGTCCACACTACGCCATCGCACCCTATATTATGCGGACTTCTTTTGTGTAGAGGTCCACACTATGTATGCCACGCCTACACAGTGAGAACAAAGGAATGTCCACACTTTATATGTAAAACAGGTATGCGTGAGTTGGCCTGAGCTTCGCCTACCTTTGATTTTCACACTGGCTCTGATGCCCATGGAAGTCATGCAATACCATCGGCATCAAGCGTACATGTTAAAAAGTCGAGCATATTTTGTCGACGTTCATGTTTAAGAGATACATTTTGTCCAAGCTCATTTTGACGAGATAATTTAGAGAAGATAATTCGTAAATTGTTCTTTTCCATCTGTTAGTCTGCTCCACTAGTCAGTGGCTCGAGTCCCCACCTACATACTAAACGGGTAACAACATTATGGTTTGAAAGGGATGATAAATGGATGGATAACAGCAACGGAACTCGCATTAGCCCCAGGCGGGAGAGGCAAGCGACTTTCCTGGCTCTACTAGAAATCGTTTCCCATAGGAGGTACGATGTATTGTGCTGTCGTTTAAAGCTACGTATTTGACTTGTGCTTTATTTGGGGTGCTTTTCATCGTTAATTTGGCGTACGTTATGGGTCCTCGATCATGAAAATGAACCCCAAACCTTATCAATATCATATGTAAGACAAATATCATGATAAATCCGAGGGTTTTTTCGATGCTATCCAGTTCGTAAGTGTGACGCCACTTCAGTTGAAACCACGCCCACTGCACATGCACGGCACATAGGGTTACATGCATTGATCACCGTACGGAACCGGAAGTTAACGCACAATGTCAACGATCGTACAATGCGGGGAGCCTGCAAATTGTGGCGTGTCCGCCTTTGTGACGAAGTCACTTACGAACCGGATAAATACGGACATGATGGAACCGTGGAACTGGAAGGTAACGCATGACATTGGTGTTCGTCCATTGGTCCAATAGACCAGTTCACTTTCTGGTGTGAGCGGGATTTTTGGAGAGCAAGATATAAAGTTGAATAATTTCGTTCGAAGCTCACGAGGGCTGCGAAAAAAATCAGTCGGGGTTCCGTTCTAGCTAGTGAGTTTTAAAACAAATTGTACGATACGTTAAGGTACCATCCACCATTCTAAGGTCGACGATGTAACTGGCGGAACATACCGAAACAATCTCGCCCTACGTTCAGCCCACGATTCAGCGTTCGGAGAGAAAGCGAAGACCGTGCCTTTTATTTAGTGCAGTGTAAAATCCTTGTAGACCAGAAAGTAACAGCCGTAATGATTTCAGAATGTTTTCCCAAGACGAAAGTGAAAAAGTGCAAAACCTGAGAGAAAAGTGACGTTGGAATTTGTGCCCCCGTACATTTTCAATGGGCCGCTCAAGCTTTTGGCCTCCCATGCAAATTATGCGCATGGGCACATAAATGAGAGTTTGTAACCCACTCTGTAAGAATGAGTCACAAGTCTCTGGAGCTACTTTTGAGTTTTACTTTGAATTAGATTGAGGAATTTGAACTTTTTCTTTTGATACGTCACTCACTTTGGTACATTGAAAATGGACGTCGTGTAGATGTTAAAATGTTGAGGATTCCTATTGCTTCAACACCGTGCAGGGTTCTTAAAGGCCTTTAACTCAAAAGTGGCTCTGGAGACATGTGACTCATTTTAACAGAGCAAATCACATTTATTAGTGGAATCGCCTATGGGAGCCTGCAAACAGTGGTGCGAAGTGACTTCATGTACATGTACATGTAGCCTACATGTACTTGAACAGCACAAAAATGTGTGTAAATTGTTTAAAGGCATTAACACGCGTACGTACTCCATTCGTTTGCACTACACTTTCTGGTTCACAGTAACGTCACACTTAGGTACTATATACGCAAGATGTATAAGCAAGTATATACGATTAATTAAGGAACAGTTATCCACAGTTTGACTAACTGTGATCAAGCGCATGCTTGTCGAACGATCATACAATGGTT